GGCTCTACATTAACAGCAGCTCACAGAACCAAAGCTACGGTTACAATGACACCACCTTCTACTACCAGAATGACAATGAGCACTATGAGTATCTCAAAAATCTTCATCTCATCCAATACGTAGTGACATGCATAATCGTTGCACTTGGCCTTCCTCTGACCCTGGTGGCCATCTATGCTCTTTATTCTATGGTATGTACATTCTGACTGAGAGTTATTTATTTCCTGTTTGTGTGGTGTGTCTGTCCTACAGTCTGTCTGTCTGTAAAGGATCTGGATCTGGTTTGGGGGCTAGGTGTCAGGGGGCTGGGACAAAGGCTTGGAATGATCTATAACCTGACAGGAATAATTGACTCCAGAATTCAAATGTCCATGAAGCTGATTGGACCCTAAACACATACAGTTTCCATGTGTGGCTCCATTCCAGCCTTCTCTTAAACTGTTGAGCTTAATGACTCTATCAAGTTCTTTGCCTCCAGTTCTTATTTGTGCGATCCTCCCTGAAATGCTGATTCAAGGAGGAGAGAGGCTCACTTTGCAAACACAAACATGAGCCTCAAACTGCGACTCCAGTCTGGTGCGTCTGTAGTATTTTACAAGTTGGGAGGGTTGGCTCATCTGGACTAACACACTAAAGTAAATGAAGAACATCTCAAACACACACACACAGACAACAGACCTCTGCCCGAGGATCTCAAGGTACGTGCTGGTGCGTATGGGACTAAAAGTTCACAAATATAACAAGGCGAGAGGCCATGAAGAGCTTTAAAAGTGATCAATAGAATTTTAAAGTCAATTCTAAAACATACTGGGAGCCAGTGTAATGAAGCTAAAATAGGAATAATGTGGTCATATTTCTTTGTTCTGGTTAAAAGCCTGGCAGCTGAGTTCTGGACAGTCTGGATGTGAAGCTTAGCTGCTGATCTGAGTTTCCCTGCTGGTTCATTACCAATAATATTCATCAGCGGTCTCAGGAAGGTAACGGCACATTTCTGTCCATGTAACAAAGCAATAAAAGAGGCTGGAGGAGAAAAGTGTAGCTGGCTGATATGAGCTTTGATGCTGGAAGCTGCCGTTTTATTGCCAATTAGTGATCAGCTGATTGTCTCACTAACGTAACCGAAAAGCTAAAACTGAGCGCTGGAGAGAGAGTAACTCTACATGAAACTAAGCCAACAACATATTTTACACCACAAGCCAAAGCCAGCTCTGGTGAATAAACCAATCCAACCAACCTTACGTGATTTTTCTACCAGGGCAGAAAAAGTTTAGCTGGCTGATGCTTCCATGCTCTAAGCTAACAGCTAAGCTAGCTTACAATTTTATTGCCAATTAACGTTACTGATCAGCTGATTGTCTCACTAACTTAACCGGCAAAGCCAAACCACAGGCTGGAGAATAAATAGCTGACATGAAGTTAATGCAACTAAATATTGACTTAGGAAACACTTCGCGGCTCTCGGTGAGCTTCAAGCTAAAGCTATCAAACAACAGCTTTCATTTGCGTCGCTAAAGTCTGACAAACTTAAGTTAATTACTGTTGGACCGTGACTTTAAATTACCCTTTTTAAACTATGTGTAGTCCTTGGTCCAGGGTGTTCTTTCATGAAGCAATAGGAGAAGATGTTTTTGGTCCAAGTTAATCAGTTTTATTACAAGTAAATGAATAAAGCTTACAGAGCTCTGTGTCGATCTTCCTTTCCCTGACAAACAACAAGCTGTATCAGTTCATGAAGTCTGACTGGCTATCTCTCCCTGACCCAGTGTTTTAGTATACATCGTCATGTCATAAAACAATAAAACAAAAGTGTAGGTCAGTCCATGATTGGCCCAAGTCCTCTGACCCCAATGTTTTTCCTCTGACTCCACAAATCGCCATGCTGTTGCTGGGCAGATTACGAGCGTAGATCCTGAAATGAGATATCTTGGAGAAGAGATGTTTGTACCACATTCCAAACTACCCCTCAAAATGGGTGGCTTTGAAAACATCTGTCCCACATTATTGCCTTCCATCTGGGAAAATCCACATCCGTGATTTCTGCTGTCAGCTGTCTGTCCACAGGCTGTCGGCTCTCGTGCTAAGTAACGTGTGATCGTTCATTTGTCCAAATATCACTTCTCTTCTTACTTCTTCAAACCAGAAGACTACTCAGAGACTGTTTATTACTATTATTAGTTCCTCTTCTTCTTCTTCTTCATACGCATTAATGAAGAGCATCTAGGTGTCGATACTGCTGGAATTATACAAGAAGAATGCCATGATGACGAAACGCGCTCTGTAGCGCTGTTTGTTCTTGTCGCCTACGGTAGAAACATGACAACAAAATACGGCGACCTCCACAGCAGGGAGTGCCCGCGGTTATGTAGATATAAATGTCTCATTCTAAGGTAATAAAAACATAATGGTTCATTATATAAGGTCTTTATACATCACTGAAAACATAGTTATGGATCTTATGTTGCATTTCTGTCAATAGATCCTCAGAAATATTACACACTGAACCTTTAAGACCACTTTTTGATGGTCTTGGTTTTGTCTCGGACTCAACAGTATTTGTAGTCGGTCTCGAACATGGAGGACTCTGGATTTCAAGACCAGTCAAGACCATAACTTTGGGAATATCAATAAATTGTTTCTGCATCGTCTCATTTATTTGTTAACATCCTAACATTGATTGGATGTGAAACGTGTTGCTTCAAATGCAAGCAATAACCCTAATTAAAAATGTGTTGTTACTGTTAATGACTGCCCCCCCCCACGATGCTAAACATGGAAAAGAACTGATGAATAAAGATGCTGACGTTGATTTCAGCTCTCAGTGTTTGTGGGTGTTTTAATGGGAATGTGGATCTTTCAGATCAACTTGAGAAGTACCATTTTATTGTGTGTCATGTAATGTGTGGAACTGGTCTTGGTCTTGACTCGGTCTCAGCCCCTAAAAGTGTTGGTCTTGTCTTGGTCTCGATAAACTCTGTTCTTTGTCTTGACTTGGTCTTGGTTTGGGCGGTCTTGACTACAACACTAATGTCCCATGAGGAAAAAGTGTGCATATGCGCGTGTTTGAAATGAAACTGTGCACTTAAGCAAGAGTCTTTAAAAAGAAGA